TGACTTCTGTATTAGTTTACCAAGTTTTTGATGTAGAGATAAAAGAAAAGCAATATCAACAACAACTTACAACATATGCATTAAATGACTGCTTATCAATGCAACGTATATTAATATATATGAAAAACGCAAAATTTGAGTTTAAATTTCATTCGAATAAACATAGTAAACGTAAATTACTTCAATTATCACCAATTAGCTCAAATGATGTAGATGATTTATTACATCCACTGCATACTTCATCATTATCTAAACCACAAGCAACATTTTTCAATCGCATTATTTGTTCAAATAAATCATCTACTCTCTCTATCATAACTCTAGAAAATAATTTTACATTATCAACTCAAAACAATTCAACTATGAGTCATCCACCGGAATCAATTCCATCCCTTGTTGGTTTACAAAGATACCCACATGATTGGGAATCGTTGAGAACCAATAAAAATGATACAAATTTACCTGACTGGACAAATTTACACTCAACATCAAATCGTGATAATCAAACGAATCAAAAAATCCTCGTGAAGAATTATCTGCTGATCAACGTAGAAAAATACACAATAGATCGTGTACGATTAAACAACGTAAACTATATTATCAAAGTGAATTAATTTTTGAAAATATTGATTATTGTTTTTCAATAAAGCAAATCAAAATGATCCTTCGAAAACAACAAATTCCATTTTGCGTAATTAATACAACAACAACCACCACAAACAAAAGAAAATTATTCGTGGCTATTCGTAATCCAGCATTGATTAACATATATGAACCACAATCTCGTCATTTATTTACAAAAACACACTATGAAGAACTTAAATTGCATGGTCAATTACCACGTGCAAATCGTCATTCAAATTCTCATCAAAAACAATCTCAAGCACGTTCATGACATCTTCATCAGTAAAATTATTTGATTGTCAAACGTGCACAGATAATTTAACAGATATTCAATGATAAAACACGCTGCACCTATTTTTTACTTTATTTTTTCATGTTGATCATCGTGGTTGAAATTTTTTTTTCTCCTCAGTTATTCGTTTTTGTCTTTCATTGTTGTTACTTCATTTTGTGCATTTTTTTCTTCTCTCTCGTTTATTTTTCTCTCATTTATTTTTCTTTATAACTCGTTAAACATATTATTGTTAACTTTTCTCTTTCTATATTTTGAAATATCCATAGGACATTTCTTTCAACATATGGGAGAATGTTAGAGGGATGTCGCTCCTATCCGGTTATTCGATTGTCCTCTATCCTTCTTCGTTTTTCTTGTTCTTCTTTATATGTATACGTGTTGATCTTGTTAAGGGGGCATTCAATAAAAGATGGTGCGATAGACACACATGGAGAGATTGTATCTCTAACAGGGTGAGTGACAGTCTGGCAAAAAACACGGTAAGGGACGACTTGTGTTGAATTCTGGACTTATATACTTTGGTGAGTGACTTAATGATGAAAAATGTAGTTTCGGCCAGCAGACACAACTAAATGGTGATAGATATGAAGGTTTTTGGCATCGAAACAACCAACATGGAAGAGGTACATGAATTTTCGCTGACGGTCGAGTTTATGATGTACAATGGATCGATGGTACGTTTAAAGGCTAGTGTTTTCTTATGTTCTCTATGGAATGACATTCACTCTCGATTTATTTCTAACAAGTAACGTTTATCGGCTTTAGATTCACTCGTTCCTAGACTGAACGCTGATATAAACTTTGTTCATACGAATATTATCCTTGTCTTCATTACAAAATAAACTAGAAATTCTAGGGGTGGCAGAGTTCTCACAAATAAAATTCAAGAATTCTATACCTATCACAGTCATCGCTATCTATGTCTTTATTATCTTTATCTTCATATATCCTCAAAACAAAATTCTGCTTAGAATTTTGCTATTCAAGTAGAATTTTGTTTGGAATTCTGTTTCCTGAAGAAAGTTTTGTTTATTTTTATCATATATAATATGCACATACTCTTTTAATTGAAACAAGATACTGCTTAAAATTTGATTTTCAAGCAGAATTATATCAAGATGGTAACGTATTTTCTAATGTCTGGTTGAATATGTTAATGAACATTACCCAATATATATTTCTAATGGACTGTATTTGTGTTATTATATAGGTGAATAGTTTATAATTATGAAATAACGGAGGCTTGAATTGATTTGTATAACTAATCATTCCTGAAAGAGATTTGCTAGAGGGAGACGTTATTTCTATGATTGGAGAAAAATTCTCGAACGAAGTGTGCTAGGTGATTGTGAATTCGGATTGAGTTTTTGACAATATGGGAATCGTAATTTTAGAGAATTCGTCTATGAAAAAAATTAGCCATGAGCCAATATATATATGGGGGTGTCCAGTCGGGTCGGAAGCCCCAATTTCCTTTTTATCGTACAACTACTATTCATTATCAGAAACATGATTTTTTACCACTTATAGTATTGATAAAGAGCTGATGATCTGGTATTGTTTTGATCATATTTCTTGTTCGAAACTACGATAATCAGATATTATCATAGAATATTTTGGTAGAATACACTTTCACGTTTACTGATTACATGAATTTTGTAATATAAAGACTTAACCATCAACAATGCATCTGGGGTCGATGCCTCAATAATAATCAGTGACAATAACAATTACAGTTAGATATAGACATCCTCAAGATGTGTAAATCACAACTAGAGAAGCCGATGAAGAAGCATCTTTTTTCATCCAATATTCAGTCTTGTTTCGATTGAATAATCTTTATACCACTTTCGATTTTCTTTCTCTACTTGTGCTCGTAACTTTGCTTTAACACATTTTCACCAAAACTATCTGTTTGTCTGTATAACATCATCATGTCATCTTCATCGCAAATTAAATGGGATAGTAGTGATTGCCAAATTACTATGAACGATCGTCATAAATATTACAATAATTGCAGATCAATGTTAGCCTGGACATGCGTTGCTTCTGAAAAATCTGGTTTGTACAGTAATTATCATTGACATCTTTAAAGATATGATTATTGTACATCAGAGCGTGAACAAGAAAGACAACAGCTAAAGGAAGAAAAGCGAATTTCAAGACTTCAAGAACTTCAAATATTATATGATGGTAAGCAACATCTGTGTGTGTAGTTAGCGTCTGAACTTTCATTCTATTGCGTAGCTTATCTTGCATACACAATAGCGAAGTATTATGTTTTTTACTGCTTTTGTACTCTAGAGCAACGTCCATGGTCAGAGTTGAGTCATGGCAATGATTCATGTATACAGCATACAGGACATGACATCGATGAAGTACAACTGTTATGCAATATGTGTGAACCACCGCTTGCATAATATTGTACCAACAGAAAACAACAACAAATAAATGATACAAAAATACCATATTTACTTAGGTCTGACCAAAAGTTCTGCAATTTAAAAAAAAAGTTAAAGAAAAAGAGAAAGTTCGAGTTTTATTTTATTAAATGTTCAAAATAGTCCCCAT